TGGATAATTTATTAACCCTAATTTGGATTTATGACTTCTTGCTCTGAATTCAGAATAAAGTTTATTCAGAATAAAGCTTTAGAAACAAGTATGCATAAAATGTGTTAAAATAAAGCCATAATCTCGCATAAAACAAATTTATTTTCATGTTATAAATGTCTTTGGTGACAGGCAATTTCTTTTTTCCACACACACACACACACATGTCTGGTCAGCTATCCTTGTGGGGACTCTCCATAGGCGTAATGGTTTTTCTACTGTACAGACCATATTTTCTATTGCCCTACACCAACCCTACCCCTAAACCTACCCCTCACAGGAAACTTTCTGCATTTTTAGATTTTCAAAAAACTTCATTCTGTATGATTTATAAGCTTTTGTACCCGTGGGGACCACAATTTAGGTCCCCACCGTGACACGAGTCCCCATGAGTCTGTGTGTAGTCAGGTTTAAGTCCCCACCAGGATATATAAACCAGTACACACACACACACACACACACACACACAGAAAAAAGAAAGTGGTCATGAAACTGTGGAGAAAAGAGAGGTTGATAAAAAATAATCAGATTTCAAAGATAATTTTTTCCTCTTCACTTGTTTGATCAGCCCATATAACACAATTGACTGAGAAAGAGAGTCTGAGAAAATGTAGTTCAAAGAACTTCCAAATAACACTATACTGTAATAATACTGTATGCACACAATCAATGCATATGTTGCAACTATAGAGGTGCAAAACCGTGCATCATTAACATTTTATGTGAGATGTATTTTATATGAAATTTATAGGAAATGACAGCACATAACTGTTGGTGATACATAAAATGACCATGCTATACATGCTGGTAATTTTACACATTAATGTAATTAATTCAAATAGAAATATACATATAACAGAAGTAATTTTAGCTGTCACTTAAATACACTGTTTCATTGACAGTATGCTGTAAAGTGAGCAATTGTAAAGGTTTAGTATGGACAAAACAACATGAAATTATTTGACAAGTGCAGTTTTCTGTCCTGTTTTGATGTATTTCCTGCTGAAACAGGAAGCACGGACAGGACCTTATAAAACAGAGCTTGTTCCATGAAATAGCAAATAAGCCTTAGTTATGAAAGTAAGGAGTTAATATCTACTGTACAAGGTGTGTGTGCATGTTAAAGTAATATTAAAATACAGCAACAGTTATAGTTTGCCTGCAGACAAGTGTATATGACAAAATATTGCTACCCCAAACACATACAATATATACAACCTCACATGTCTGTCAATCAGTGTCTAAATGTTCACAATCTTTATCTGGGTTCATATACACAACAGCAATGGATTGATCTCACCAGTGTTGTTTATGTCCTGAGTGATACATATTGCACAAAATTGTGCACAAAGGTAATCCAATTCCCACATAGACTCCCTTGATATTTCAAAGTCCACACATGAGGATTGGACGCTTCAGATGGAGTGTGTTGGAGACATGCTCACTGAATATATAAACCTCCTGTTTACATTGTAGTTTGGTTGTGGGCTGATAATGGTCACATGGCAGGAAGTCCCCTTGTCATGTGACAGGAAGTATTAGTACATATATAAACATATAAAATATATAATTAGTGTCATTGGCAGCCTGCTGATTGATTGCAGGTAGAGTGACATTCTCATTTTAGAGAGCATTTGATTGTGTTGTATAATATTAGTCATCAACAGTTTTCCCCAGAAGAGAAAAATAGGACATTTTCAACAATATCTGCTAAAAGGTAATTTAGAATCCGCACAATCACATGAAACATAACCCAAAAAACTCAAACTTTTATGTCATGGGGTCTTCGCTGTGCAACTTTCAAGGCTTATGTATTATATTATATGCATGTACTGTGTATCTGAATACACAAAGTTTGATCAGTGTTTAATAAATAGTCCTTACAGATATATTGTCATACACAATCTTTCAAAAATTTCTCTAAATGTTTTTGAGGCTGCATTTACTTGATCAAAAACACAGTAAAAATATTTAACAATTTATTTTATAATATTTTTACAATTTAAAATAACTATTTGAATATATTTATATATTGAATATATAAAACCCCCACATAATTAGGTACAGTGCACATGTGCTGATTAAGACTGTGAAAACACAGTTTGTCCATTTGTTCATTGTATTGGATAGAATGTGTTGGTGTGGACCATGTTGATTAAAAATAAAAAAAGAAGGCAATGATTGTATTGAGAGCAGTGAGCAAACAGAAACATGAGACACAGTCACTGGCACTTATTTAACCAAATCTGACGTCAGTACCTCAGAGAACAGCAGGTTCTCAACACATTTTCCAACGCACTAAATTGAGAAGATTTTCACGATCAGCAGATCCATGGACACAGCAGCAGGCATTTTGACCCTTTGGTAGACCACCTATATGAATACATTCTTTAGAAGTCTACTTTTAAATTAAACAGTGAAAATTTAATTTTAACAACACTTCATTCAAGCACTGACATGCAATTTGATGTTGATGGATTGCCCTTGTATCAAAACCGATTCTTTCATTCACTGCAGTGACAAAGAAATGAGAGCTCTTGGGAGCAAGAAATGAGAGATGAGTCACACGTCATCAGACTCCGTCAATTTATGTAGCCTATGTATCCATCTAACTTTCTGCCCAGAAGCTTTCTCATTTGTTCCTTTCTGTGGAAGACAATCACACAGATTGATATTCCGGTGGCGTCCTCGTGGGATTGCTCTCTCGTCTCATCGCATTGCGAATGACCGGGAGGTTTCTGAAGATCATGCGATACCTCAGGAGAGATCTCAGAGTGCAGCTCGGCCTCTGAAGCCTGTTTACGTCCACACATGTCGGCACATAATTTATAAGCCCTTGGAAGCTGAACTCTCGTGACTCCACTTGATTGTGTTTGTATTTCTCTCTTTCTTTTTCTCATCTCTGTATTTATTTATTTATTTTGTATCTGATTCCATTCCTTGGTCATTGCACTGACCCCATCGCTGCCTCTTAGAGTGCTTTATTTGTAAGTCACTGTGATATGCGAGTCATACAGATTTCTTTGTGAGTCACTGAAATAAATACCTTGCCGCATGAGAAAAAACGTAAAATATCTAATATTTTCCACGTTGTTCTTCTTTGTTTCCGTTGTTGAACGCCGCGCACAAATGACGTTGCTGTCGACCGGCTTACGTCACTTCCTAGTACACACTGTCGGTGCGAATGCAACCCTTTAAATGGTACTGGGAAATAGTTTGTACTTTAGTACTGTACATTTAGTTCTGTAACTAAAGCGGTGCGAAAGGTCCTATTGTGTCCTGGTTTGTCCCTCTAATTACCACAACTTTCTGTCATGGTAATCGATCTTGAGTTACTGCTTAACTATCAGTTGGTTTATCAGGAGACTGGGTTATTAATGCAATTTGAAAACACCATAAGGCTAGTTTCACACTGCATGCATTAACAGTGCATTTTGTGTGTTCACACTGCTGAGGCTATGTGCAGAAAATACAGTTATTTCTGGATCACTACATTGAGTATTTCTTTTAATAAGCCATAAATTATAAAATGGCTACCAGGAGTGGGCCATTGATAAATGTTACAATCTTGAGCATGGGGAAATCTAATTTGCATAAGACGGGGCCACATTTATGTTTAAATGTTAAAGCATCTACATGGAACCCCAAAATGTAGCTATAAATACTTAATCATCTGGATTCAGTCAGATTTACTGAATGGTAAAAAAAAAAAAAAGGTCCAAGGGAGTGAATAAGGGTCATTGTGATATAAATTAAATAAGAAATGAAGTTACACTGTGAGATATAAAATCGGGCACAATACAGACACAATGGTTTTATCGCCAAATAAAGTCGGAATGACGTCATAGTCACAACTGTAGATTATAAAGTCACACCGCACGATCTGTAGATTATAAAGTCCCATTGCGACAAATAAAAAGAAATGTTGAGAAACAAAGCAAAAATTATGAGAATCTATGTATCTTATTTTTATATAAGAGGAGGCATGGGCGTTTTAAACTTTTGTTATTCTTGTTTGCTTGATGGTGCAAACTGGTAATTGTTCCCATATTATTTGAATTTACTATCGTAATTATAAACATAATGGTAGCGTGAATATTTTTTCCACTTTGTTATTTTTCTATTTATTTGCCTATAGTGACTCATGAATCGGATGTCTTGCACATTCACTGGAAATGGCGTTGAAATATGGTGAATAAAGTCACAATTTGAGATATAAAGTCACATGCATCTGCTTTTTACTCTTTTTGGCAGATTTCTGTGCCGAGTTATAGGCTCAAAAATAGGCTCAGCACCTAAACTCTGCAGTGTGAAAAAAGCCTGACACTGCTTTATTTCTAAACCTACGAGATGAAGAGTGCGCCACATCAAGACTTGCTGTAAATGGCAAAACTTTGATGTGAGCTCACGACAGTCCCATTGAAGTCAATGTTTGACGTGTTTTGTCACAAAGTCCACACAGCTAACAGTAGAGGAAGGACAGATAAGGTGAAATGGTGCCATCATAATGACAGTTCACATTTCTGCTGTTACAATTTCAGCAATTCAAGAAGCAATGAGAAGCTATTCAAGTCGTAGTTCTGCTCTCAATGGGGAAAACACGCCGATCTGTATCACATCAGGAACTATAATTGGCACCTTAGAGGACTTGAATCAAAGGGCTTTGTCAAAGTGTTATAAAATGCATTCACAATATACGTGTTATGAGTCTTGTAATTCTTTAGACAAGAGTGCACTGTAAACATTTTTTTTGTTTTTTCCCCCCCCAAAGATTACTGGAGTATGTTTTACAAAAACATACTGTCAGTCTTTCTACTTCAAAATGTTACATTTAATTTCATGTGCTACTTTTCTTAATGAGATTTACTAGCAATTTCTGAGTGACAATTGTTTCTACAATTTTCAGTGTGGCAAAAAAGACATCAGGTGGATGGAGAAAAAAAAAACACAACTGTCTGGAAACAGAGTTGTAGAGTTTATTTTTGCCATTGTTGCCTAAAATAACGATATAAGTACTCCGTGGATGTGATTCATAGGTCAAAAAAATCCCTCTGAGTTCAACTCTGTGTAACAAGTACTTGTGCTTTTGTTTTGGCCCAGAAATGAAGATCATCTGTATTATATTGTCTTGAGAAGACAATACACAACAGCGTACTAAACAAAAACACTCCAACACAACCAGTCACAATATAACACAATACATCAGTTAAAACATGATTAAATATTTTCTCAACAACAATATTATTTCATTGTCATCACTGTGACATATTCAACAGTTATATTCAGTTAAAAAGAGAAGAAAGGCTTTCGTAATGTAAATGCATCCCTTGTTGGATTGTGGGAGAAAACCAGTGGATTTCTCTGGTACCTGATGTACAGTGAAGAATCTGGAGGCAGAAAGAACAAAAGGTAGCCTTTAAAAACAGCCTTTGACATGAATCAGAATTACTGTCTTTAACTTCCACCTGGAGTGTGTTTGTAAGTCGTAAGTGTTTGTAACTACTGCTAAGCAGCAATAGAAAAAAAGCTGTTCGCTGTAATTGAGGTGGCATCTGAAATCTTATGCATGCACTTCTCCCTCTCTGACATCCATCTCAACAGAAAAAACACACACACACACACACGCACGCACGCACGCACGCACGCACACACACACGCACACACACATAAAATGTACCGTGTATCCTTAAAGCAGCACACAGCCCTTCTTCTTGACCTTGGTGGGCTGTGGGCAGAGAACAGCACGAATGGCCTCATCAAACACTGTCTTTAGACCTCTCTGAGTGAGAGCAGAGCACTCCAGGTATTTTACTGCATCTGTTCACACACAAACACACGCACACAGATCAGGTTTGTAAATAACACCTCCTTTCTCTCTCTATATATTATAAACATAGTTTGTATGCATACCGAAGCAGTGGGATACTTAGCAGCAGATGTCTGGGTGTATTAGGTGTGCACAAATCTGTCATATCTGAGCATGTAGGAGGACTAGCCCATGTGTTCTCCCAAATGCTAGATCAAATCACACTGAGAACAAATTGCATTTAGCATCTAAATCTGTAGCCTGATTTGTAGTGCTTTGCAATTTTGTGTATTTAGAGACTATGTGGTGATTATATGTTAGAAAGCAACCAGACAATAAACAGTGTTTGCATTTGTCTTGTATCTTAAGCCTGATTTTTTCTCTCTCGCTCTCTTTCTTTCTTTCTTTTTTTTGTCTACGAACAGATTTCCAATAGAACTGTTGCAGCTATAAACTGTTTAAGTCTGTAGTTCAAAAAGTGGAAAACAAATAAATTTTTTGTTGTTGATGCCTTATTTCAGAAATATATAACTCAAATACAGAACCGTTCAAAATTTAAAGGTTAGTAAGAATTGTTGAATGCTTTTGAAAGTGTCTTATGCTCACCAAGGCTGTATTTATTTGATCATAAATACAGTAAAACAGTAATACTGTTAAATATAATTACAATTTGAAATAACTGTTTTCTGTTTTAATATATTTTAAAAACAGAATTTTCAGCAAACATTACTCCAGTCTTCAGTGTCACATGATTCACATTTTAATATGCTGATCTGGTGCTCAAGAAATATTTCTTCTTATTATTAATTATCAATGTTGAAAATGCTGCTTAATATTTTTGTGGAAATCATTTTTCAGGATTCTTTGATGAATAGAAAGTTCAAAAGAACATGTATTTAAAATTAATTTTTTAAAATAACAATACAAATGTGTTTACTGTCACTTTTGATCAATTTAATGCATCCTTGCTGAATGAAAGTATTAATTTCTGACAAAAAAATCTTGATGCCAAACTTTTGAACTGTACTGTCATCCAGTGATGTAAAAAGGACAAATCCACCCCTGCCACCTTACCTATTTCTTTGGCCAATGCGAGACCCTGTGGGTAAGTGATTGGTGCCAGTTTTTTCTCCTTCAGCTTCTCGATGGTCTCCTTCTCATCTCTCAAATCGAGCTTGGTGCCAACCAGAATAATTGGAGTAGAAGGGCAGTGGTGCCTCACCTCTGGGTACCACTAGAGGGAGCAGAGGAGCAGATCAAAACAGTTCATTCACATCTGTTTATCAGTCCATCTCTAGACTCTGTGCTGTGGTATTTTTCTTTGCCTGTCTGTTGTCAAATACATGGGCTACAAAGCTGTTCATCTGCATAAAGTTGAGCTTTCACTGCTTGCTCCTTTCCACTACCAATCTCTATGCAAGTCTGTTCTTCAGTTCCAATGCACACTACAATGCACGCTAATGGACATGTTCAGTTTGTTCCACTTTACACCTGTCATTTTGTGCCAAGGCCTTTTTATTGAAAAGATTGTCCTCAGAAAAGCACTGACTGAATCATCGGTTAAAGCTCAGCACATAAACAATGTCAGTGGTATCTCAGAAAGTGTGCAGACTATGTGAAAAATGCAGCAAAAACAGTTTCTAACTTGGTCACTGCAGAGCAGATGAAAAAGCTTTATGAACATTTTATGGTGCAGAAGAACTGCTGCACTTCTCAAGGCCTGGCATCTGAATGTTGTCTTTAATCTGACATGCACAAACACCATTGTTTTCTTGCACAGAGCAACCCATGCAGTCATGTCGAGCAGACCTTGAGTGGTCAATAGGTGTCCCAACAGATACACAAGTTTTATATCGGCGAACACTGTCTTAAATAACAAGTTAATATTGTCGATGCTGTTACTGCCATGCTTTGATCTCTGAAGTCAAAGAAATCTGGACCAATTTAGCACTATGTAGCAGTAAAAAGAGCAGTAAACAAACATTTCCTTGATACTTCTATGGTGAGCGTGATTTCACCAAGTACAACATGTTCCTGGATCAACATCCTTGTTGATCCTGGAACATCATTCCAATCAACCAATCAGAATTGAGAGATAACTTTTCAGGAAATGTCAGTTTTAGGCTTACAATCAGGGTTAGGTGCTTCTACACCCTTGTTAATCAGCTATCATTTCCCTCTGATTTTAGGAATAAATTATGGGTAAGGTTAGGTTTAGGGGTAGGGATTGGGTTAAGTCTGTATTTTTGGACAGTAATGTTGATCCAGGATCATCAAAAGATGTTGATCCAGGAACATGTCTTACTTGGCAAAATCACGGCGACATACTTCTATGACTCAGGTTCTAAACTGAGCACTAGCCTACATCCATTCCCTTTCAGTCCTACATTTGATCTACAGAGGCTCAATTATTAGGGCTTTTGTATGCAACTTAAAGGTGTCTATGTTTCTTCTCTTCATGCTTATTAATAAGAGACTTCAAATGTGTTTGGAAAACACAAAATGGTGGCCTTCGTTAGAAATCAGCATGTCTTCAGTGGCATTTATGATTGGCGGGTGGGTGGGTCGCTACTCAGCTTTCTAAGCCTCACTTTCTAATCTAGTCAAAGCAAACGATTATTGCAGCACCCCATTTTCAGGTACTATCAGCCCACATCAGTAATGAGAAATTATCTCTTCATACTTAACATCTGCATGGCAGGTGATTGCTACCGAATAGATGTGTAAGCACAGGCCATGTGACGTCTTACCACCCCCAGTGCATCTACTGTATGCACTTTCCTCCCCACTTTAAATAGATCTTAATTTGTCTCCTCAACCTTGCACAATCTATCAAAACTACATTTGCATATGGCCAGTGTTACCATGGTTACTACTCAGGAATATACCGTAGACATAATAAAGGGAACGACCGGGAGGATAGAAAAAGAAAAGTGTGGAAGAAGCTTCTGAAGGTCTTTGATTGGGAGTGAAAGCATTAAGGAACCGGCGAGATGAGATTGCCATTGTTTGAACTTAATAAGAATTCAAAGGGCTGTTTGCGTAATTGTTTATGCAACCGCTGATTTTAAGCAATGTAAATTGGACCAGATTAAGCCTCGAGTGGTTCTGGAATTATTGATATCACAAACAATTTGCTTTCCGTTCCATCTCAGGCACCTTAAACATGCTGCGGAGGCCTTGATAAGGTCTGGCATAATAACAACAACAACTCAGCAGAAAAGAATCTTTCTTTCTCTTTGCTCATTCATTTTAACTTTATTAATGAAAAGAAATCTAGAACGGTACAATATTATAATATATCTTTCTGTTTGTGTTTCATCATCATGATTCCTTTTATCAATGTGAATCTCTTTTTGGTTTTTGTCAATTCTCTTTGTACGTTCGCTGCTGCAGTGCGGTTCTTGTGCTCTCACTAATGCAATTTTTTTTTTTACCAAGCTCGATTCAGCCAGTATTCACAATACAAAGTTTTGCTATCAATCTGTATAGGTAACACTTTGCAAAATGGCTGTTAAAACTGTTGTAAAAATTGGTTAGTTAAAGCAAAAGCAATGAACAACACTTTTACAGCATTTCTTGTCAATTTCTATATGTTAATAATTATTTTTTTTACATTTAAGTTATATAAATTAATATTAGTTAATCTGTTGTGTATTATAAACAAACATCATTTAACAATGAGCAATAATGTATTTATAAATTGGCATTAATATATATTTAAAAATGCTGCAAAATTGTTTATTGTTAGCTCGTTAATGCATTAACTAATGTTAACAAATTGAATCTAATTGTAAAGTTCTATATTTTAAATAAGCATGCATTTAAATAAGTGTGCAAATCTTTACAACTTTTTTCCCACTGCAGAACACAAAAGGACATATTTTGAAGACTGTCGGGGTCCAAACAACACAGGATCCCACTACCTTTCATTTTAATGAAAAAATAAAGGGACATTATTTTCAAAATGTTCTTTTATGTTTGACAGAAGAAAGTCATACGCATTTGGAACATTATGCTGGTGTTAAAATAATTTTCAACTATGCCTTTAAGATTAAGATAATTTCTGATTTTCTTCAGTCAAACTGCACTTTGGTGTAAACACAGATCCTGCGATCAATAAACTTTTTCTCCGACAGAGAAAGATGTCTGTGTTTATCTCAGTACTCTATTGATTTGAATGGAGAGAACAGGACGTTTAAAAAAAAAACAACATAAAACTTTTAGCTTTCTTAAGAGAACATGTCCCTGGCAAAGTATTTAAATTTTAATGTCAGGGACATGTTCTCTTTAGAAAATTATTATTATTATATATTTATATAAGACCGCTGATCCACAGCATGCCAGTGTTCCAGGCTTCTTAACTAGCTAAATCTGCAAGACTTTCTTGGTTAACCAATGCCATCAAAGCTGATTAAACAGGTAAGAAATGTGTAGTTATTCTGGTTTACCGGCTAGACCAACATTAAACCAGGACTGCTGGTCTAAGCTGTCTTTTTCAGCAGGATACCCTACATTGCTTTGTTAGAATCCAAATGGCTAAAGGGAGTAAAGAGCAAGTACCACAGTAATACAAGATATCATCCCAGAATCACAATCCAGAGTCAAAGGTGACCTAACCAGCCTTCCTGCACCTTTCTACAACACCTGAACCCTTGACAACAATACGATCTCTTTTTGCCCCAAGGACACTGGATTATTTTCACTACACACTTAGCAAAGAACCATCATTTTGACTTATAAAACCGTTTTCCCTTTTGGGATCACTCTTGAAAATGCTCTCTGTCAGGGTGAAATAGAGGCAGCTTAAACACGCTAACTGTAGCAGGGCACTAAGTGGTGTGCATCCGTCAGGCATCTACAGTTGCATTAATGGAGAACACGTCAAGGTCAGCCGAGCTGCTAGCACTGGTATTATACTCCCTTAGGTTGGGTTTGTGAGTGTGAGGTAGATAAATAACTTACTAAATAGAGTCTCTACTGAATGAATCTTTTGGCTGGCTGGAAAACATTCAGATAAAGATGATGCTGTGTGTGATAAATGCTTCCTGAGCACAAACCACTTTCTTTTTAAAACAGCTGAATGCCACTGATGGAACTCAGCCTTCATTTGTGAATGTCTGAATACTCACAAGGCCAAAACTTTTTTTTATAGAGAGCTGATGTTTACATCATGTCCACTTTATCTCCATATGAATATGATTGTTGCACCCAGTGAACGTTTGTAATGTCAGCAAATGCAAAATGGATTCATGCATCTAGTGGCATCTAGTGTCCAGCCCAATGCAGAGCAAGTGTTTATGGGCATGCAAGAGGGTATGTGCATGTGGGAATGTTGTAAGCATGAATGGCAGCGGGTTACTGTGCATGTGGATGTTGTTGATTGCTACTGGATTTTGTCTGTAGGCTCATGCTGGTGTGACTGTGCTTGTATTCCGTTAAGACCCAGACTAAAGCGCCCATAAGGACTCACCTTGGCTCTGACGTTTTCAAACGATGCTGGGCTCACCAAAGAGAAACAGATGAGAAACACATCCTGCAAAATACCATCAGAGGACATGACATTTGATGAATGAACTGAAGAAATGTTACTGTTTAAAAGTTTGTGGTCAGATTTAAAAAAAAGAAATTAATACTTTTTTCAGCAAGGAAGCATTAAATTGATTATAAGTGACAGTAAAGACATTTATAATGCTACAAAATATTTCTATTTCAAAGAAATGCTGTTCTTTTGAACTTTCTATGCATTAATGTATCATGGTTTCCATGGTTCTTGAGCAGCAAATCAGCATATTGAAATGATTTCAGAAGGATCATGTGACACTGACTGAAGACTGGAGTAATGGCTGCTGATAATTCAATCAGTTTTGCCACCATAGAAATAAATTACATTCTGAAAATATTTTAAAATAGAAAACAGCTATTTTAAATTGTATTAATATTTGAAGATATTACTATTTTTCTTTATTTTTGATGAAAAAATGCAGACTTGGTGAGCATAAGAGACTTCTTTTAAAAATATTAAAAAATGTTACCACACGCAAAAAATTTGTCACTGAAAAAAACAATGATTGATCACTGTTTTAAATCTTTAAGGGGACGTGTCCCACTAAATGTTTATGCTGGAGTGTACCGTCTGAGGGTAGGACAGTGGCCGCAGTCTGTCATAGTCTTCCTGTCCAGCTGTATCCCAAAGGCCCAGATTGACTGGTTTGCTATCCACCATAACATTTGCTGAGTAGTTATCAAACCTGAGGGAAAGTACCCAACCCACACAATCTCTCAATATTTCGACATGAATGTAAAGTTCAGCATAAAAACACAAACGTTTCAAATTGTTGTGGTACTCACACTGTGGGTATGTACTCCCCAGGGAAAGCATTGGTAGTGTAGCTGATGAGAAGACAGGTCTTTCCCACAGCTCTGAAAAATACAAACAACAAAGAAGAAAACAGACATTTAGTTATCCTTCAGATTGCTGGAAAACAAACAACATAATGTACTCTCAGTAAAACACATGCTGCTAAAATTACTTCAAAGAATGCTAGGTATCTGTAACCATCTTCCAATAAGAGGAACAGGTGTACTGTCCTTCCATAGTGAATTCACACATTTGTTCTCAAACACAAAGAACATTGTATGTGGTCATATTTCAAGAACTAGGCATTACCGCATTCAGCAATAACTATACATGAAAGGTGAGATTCTGCATTCACTTTGCCTGTAGTACTGCTTTTCAATGCTCAAAGCTAAACTAACTCAGGACCGGTTCACACAGAATGAGTTTTTGCATGCCACTGCACGGCTTTTTAGTTGTTCATAAACATACGCTAGACTGAAGTTTTTATTTACCTATGCGTGGCATTCACTTTTTCAGCGTTTTGCTCATAATTGCAGCATTGAAGAACTTCAATTTTGAATGCCGGCGCAGCTGCCAGTTTCAAAACACTGGACCAATCGGAAGAAAGCGAGGGCGGGGCAAGCATTAGACCGTCTCTTTGATACTTCAAACATAGCGATCCTCATTCATGTGTGTACAGCAGGGGTCACCAAACTCGGTCCTGGAGAGCCGGTGTCCTGCAGAGTTTAGCTCCGACCCGAATTAAACACACCTGAACCAGCTAATCAAGGTCTTACTAGGTATACTTGAAATGTCCAGGCAGGTGTGTTGAGGCAAGTTGGGTCTAAACTCTGCAGGACACCGGCCCTCCAGGACTGAGTTTGGTGACCTCTGGTCTGGTGTACAGTCACCGATTGTACAATGTCCAAAACAGGGCAAAGGGGGGTGTGGGTTGAGGCCATCAAGCCAAGTTCGTTTACCATTAACTATTAAGACTGAATGGGCAGGTGAACTCGTGAATTAGGTTTGAAACTAAACTCTGCAGGGCTGTGAACTGAACGTACATTTACACAACAACAACGTACCAAAAACCCAAAAGATTTTCCTTTGTGTTTTTTTGCATACAGATGACAATGTTGTCAAAACAATCCCCATTCACGTGGATCCACAAAAATACTTGCTGTATTATGCATGTCAGACCCATAATTGGTGATGTCAGAGGTTTCACAAATTCACGTTTTTGTAGTTTACACAAGAATGATAACAGTATAATTTTCTAAACAACTTGTGAATTTGAAACCATGCAGTTTTCACAAGTTTGCATTTTTTAACCCCATGAGTTTTGCACTCCAGTTGTAGAATCTGGGCGGCATAACAGGTTAAATGTCTAGAGCTGCAATATAAGTGTGAAATATGTTGACTGTAAATGACATCTGTGACGACAATCGCAATTGCTGTGAAAAGAACAGCAATCTGAAGACTTTCAAAGTTGTGTAAAATAAGGGTGGCATTAGCTATTGCCAGGATGAAAATTATTTAATTTATGCATTTTTATCTTTTAGTAGCCTTCATTTCTGCTGCTCGATTATTTCAGTTATTTCTCATAAAATTCCTTGATGTTTAACCTTTTACGGGTCATACTGTATTACCAATGGAACAGTGGAATTGTATATACTCAGAAATTCTTTCATTTTATTATCTCACTCAGATCCAGTGATAGTTACAACACATCCAGTGCTGTGACAGCAGACCGGAGAGCAACACAAACTACCTCAAAACAATTGTGCATGCTTACACTAACTCAAAAAGAGAAGATGACATTTGGTATGAAAACAGGTCACCTGAAGCAGCAAATACATAGATGGGCTGAAAGAAGTGTGTATGACCGTACAAATTCAAGTAGAGCGCATGTTGATGCTGGCAGGCAGCGAGAGAGAGGAATGCTGGTATTCAGGAGCCTGTGGCTACATTTCCCTCACATCAAGAAACACTGGAGCTACTCAAGGGCAAGGCCAAAATCACACACTTCAGGCTACACACATTCAGTCACATCAGAACTATTTGCTATCTTTATTACACTCACTTCTTGATTTCTCTCTCTTGCTCTCATTCGCATTCAAAAAAAAAACAAAAAACATGGAAATACACAAACATAGACCCACATGGTAATAACCACATGTCCTTTGAGTTATCCAGACTTGTGTGCACTTGACTGAAGGGCTGGGCTCTGATGTATTGTGCACTATAAGCCATCAACAGCAAGAAAACAGGTCACCTGAAGCAGCAAATACATAGATGGGCTGAAAGAAGTGTGTATGACCGTACAAATTCAAGTAGAGCGCATGTTGATGCTGGCAGGCAGCGAGAGAGAGGAATGCTGGTATTCAGGAGCCTGTGGCTACATTTCCCTCACATCAAGAAACACTGGAGCTACTCAAGGGCAAGGCCAAAATCACACACTTCAGGCTACACACATTCAGTCACATCAGAACTATTTGCTATCTTTATTACACTCACTTCTTGATTTCTCTCTCTTGCTCTCATTCGCATTCAAAAAAAAAAACAAAACATGGAAATACACAAACATAGACCCACATGGTAATAACCACACGTCCTTTGAGTTATCCAGACTTGTGTGCACTTGACTGAAGGGCTGGGCTCTGATGTATTGTGCACTAAAAGTCATGATTCAACAGCAAAAACAGAAAAGTCCACATAAAATTTCTGTAATGCATTTTGACAAGCCATGACGAAATAATGTAATATTAACAGAACTGAGTCTGTGAGTAGAGCCACTGTGGAAATCAAACATGCCTTCACCAATAAATCGCATGCGATATTTAACGTGCATCTTGTCAGTAAAGCCATTCTGTAATCAGCGGTAAATCTCCATCACGTGCGGACTTTCACATGGAGCAGCATTAACTACACAGAGCCGTTGTTCAC